CAGTTCTGAGCACTGTACAAAAAATCCTCCCCGTAGCTAAGGTGCCACTTGAGGACTTGATATTCTGAGGTAAGGAGATTTTCCCTGGGCTGTATGTTTAATTCAAAGGGGGCAAAAGCCTGGCTGTGCAACCCCCCTCACAACTACCCAAACATTTGAGCTGTTCTGTGAGAGCCCAGTCTTACAGGATGGCCTTTCTCAAAGTCGGTGAGATCTGAATGATGCATGCATCCTGCAGGACAAGGCTGGAATCCACATCTGCAGCCAAACTTTTATTTATTATAGCCATCTTCTGTTTTCTTCCCCTTTTTTTCCCCAAGCAACATACATAGACTATCATGACTACCACAGAGGCTGTAGAACTATATGCTAATCTGTGAACTTCAAGCCAAAACTTCATTGAATTCTCCTTCTGTATTGATGCTCAGAACCTGAGGGCTAATTACACATTTGCTAGTTGGAGCCTGTTTTTTCCAACCTCTTTCATTTCAGCTCAAAAAGGAAAATGATAGTGGTGACCCTGCAGGTACTCTGTAGAATAAGTAACGCTTTACTGAATCTCAGCATTACTTTCTTATGTGAATAGTGAGTCTCTGGCTGTAGATACTATTCTGTACAGTTGTTCTGAATATTTTAGTAGATTACACTAAGAATGAAAGTGACACGAAATCATGAAAATCATATTTAAAGTTAGGGGCATTTTAATGTGGCATTTTGCCAGTTAAATATTTTTTTTCAAACATTGCAATAGCTGCTGATTTTAAAGCTGTTTTCTCAGTGCTTCTACAGCAAGGACATTTACAATAATACTGTTGTATCAGCAAAACTACCAATACAGGTATTTTAATTTTTATCTTGCTTTATAGCCCTTTATACAAGGCCCTCCTCTAACAGTTCTGCAGTAGCATTAATTTCAAGAGGGTTGTAAAGGTCATTCTTCTTTTCAGTCAAATAACAATATCAAAGCATTTTAATGATGCTTTTCCATTAGTGTTACAATATTCAGAATTGTTATAAAATTCAACAACGTATGAAAATGTCATCGCTAGGGATGACTGAAGCAGCTCATCTGAAAATGAAAATCAGCCCAAATCTTTGCAGGTGCTCAAAAAACTTAAGATAATTTCATTTTGTCTCCCCTACCTCTACTTCTCAGATACTTCTACAAGTTCCGGTGCCTGAAATATCATCATAATTGATTTTTCTAGACAAAGGAAGTGCTTAGAGCTAATTATCTAAATTTAAGTGCAGTGGCTGGTGCAGTGCCATGTGGGAAATTGTTAGCTAAAAGGGGAGATTAGTACAGAAATGGAAAAGTAAGAAAATGAGTAGTAAAAGGAGAAGATCAGTACTGAGAGAAGGTTGTAGAGCTTCCCAGGCATCAGTCTTAGGCTTGTTATTATTTGACATATTTTATTAATGATGATCCCTTAAAAAACAAGCGTGTGCTAATGGAATTTACCCATGGCATAAGGGAGGGAGGTACTGTCACTGCAGAGATGAATAAAGCTCTCATCTAGGAAGAACTGAGTGACCTTGAGGACCACGATAGAGTAAACTAGATGAAATCTGGAAGGATTTGAGTGCAAGTTCATGCATCTGGGTCTTGTTAACCAGGTTTCTACCATATCTGCATGCTCGCAGGTAAGGCAAGAATGAGGATGAGAAAGACATAGAACATGCAAAGCAAAATATTTTCACCAGGGAAATGAAACGCTGGATGAGGCACAAGTCAAAAATCAGCCAGGATAGTGCACGTGGTTCACAAATGATTCACTTCACCTCCAGAAAGCTACTGAAAAGGACAATTAGGGTGACCGTGGGAAGGGAGAGCTTTATATGAGGGAGGAGTTTGGTAAAATGAAGACTGAGAGGGGCTGCTATAAATACAGCACGGGCATAAGCTCCAGGAAGAGAAAACATCTATTTAAACTAAAGGACAACATTGGCACGAGAACAAATGAGTATAAATTGGTCATGAATAAATTTAGGATGGAAATTGGAAGCAGGTTTCCAAACAACAGAATAGCAATGTTCTGCAATTGCTTTCCAATGTGGAAACAACAACAACAACAAACCTCGAGCTACTTTTAAGATGGAGTATAATGAGTTTCTGAAAGGGATTATATGATGTGTTTGGCTAAGATAGCAGTGAAGAAGACTTGATGACCCAAGAGGTCTATGCAGGCCTATCTTTCTAAGCCTGTTTTTCGTGACCGAATATTTCAGAGCACTTTTGAGTGCTTCCATTCCTTCATGTATTTTTTAGATAAATTTTTAATAGTGTGCTGCAGGGACTGCTGGCTGGGCTGATTTAGGGAAGGCACACTACTATGGTGTCCAGAATATGCTGAATACTCTCCAAACAAAACAAAAGAAGTGTCCAGCATCCTACAGGACAAGGCTCGAGGCGCTTAAAGAAATCACTGTTTTTCAGAGGAAGGCAATGGGGACTAAGTCCAACCAGGAGCAGCATCCCCTTGAGGCTTGGCTCTCTGGTGTTTCTCCTACACTTTTGAGCCTGCTCCTCTGTTTTGCAGTTTGCCTTCTGATCCCCACTGCACATCTGCAGCAGTATGGAATAGGATGGCAAAGAACCCTTTAGATGCATAAGATTGAATGGATCAAAAATGGAGCAGCTGGCGTGAGTCTGACTGGGTGCCAAGAGGGTAAATCTGTGGTCGAGGTGGTGTGTTTGGGAGAAGGGAGGCTTTCTCCACCCTCAGTGGTGTGGTGCAGAGCTGTGCTACCAGTGTCATGGTTCCTCTCTTCTCAGCCCAGGAAGCACCTGGGCTCTTTGGCTGGGTTTATCCTGCTTGGTGCCTCAATGCTTCCTTAGTGAAACTTGTTCCAAAATCCAGCAGTTCCATTGCTTCTTAAAAGCTGTGCCTCCCTTAGTCAGTGCAGCCAGAAAAGGATTTGTATTGAAGCCTGGGTTTCAGGGTTCAGTAGCTGGAGTTTTATGGGTTCCTTGCCCCCAAAAGCGAAATTGGGTGTGCCTTTACAGTAATAGATACTGCTTCATGAAAGTGCGGGTTGTATGCAGGTTGGCCTGGTAGTGTGATGATTCCCTTACAGAATCATAGAACATTTGGGGTTGGAAAGGACCTTTAAGGGTCATCTAGTCCAATGCCCCTGCAGTGAGCAGGGACAGCTTCAACTAGAACAGGTTGCTCAGAGCCCCATCCAACCTGACCTGGGATGTTTCTAGGGATGGGGCATCTACCATCTCTTTGGGCAACCTGGGCCAGTGTCTCACCACCCTCATTGTAAAAAGTTTCTTCCTTTTTCTAAATGAAACCTACCCTCTTTTTGTTTTAAACCATCCCCCCTTGTCCTGTTGCAATAGGCCCTGCTAAAAAGACTGTCTCCATCTTTCTTACAGAAACCATCTCACAGTCAGAAGTTTCATACTTTTCTACCTATGCTTTGGTTGAAATCTGATGAGTGGGACAGTGAGATCTGCAGAACCGGATGATTCTGGTTGATTTTCCTCTCCAGCTAACTAGTACTTTTTCTGAAATCAACTATTAGGACTAAGAATAGGTTAAGAAAAGGGAAAGTTAGATGAAAGACCTTGTTGCCATCCCTAGAAATCACATTTGCAGAAGGTGGAAGCTCTACTTTTTTTGTGCAGATACTTTAACAACAAGTTTAAAAAACCAAGCAGGATAATTGAGTCCCCAGGTTTGCCTAAACAGGCTAGTGACCTTGGTGCAGTGCCCCATATGTGACCTACCCTGTGGCTCACTGGTCAGGGATACCTATTCCTCAAAAGAAAAAACTGAAACTAGTTGGAAAAATTTTCAAGTAAAAACTATGTTGAAAGTCTGAATTGAAGACATGCTGTGGAATGATCAAGAGGAAATATTTTGATTGATTGAAATTTTAGAGAAGCCCTTATTTTGGGTGGTTTTTAATGTAATTTTTGTTGCTGAAATGTGTGTATCTAGTAAGCTACTTTTTCACCCATCCTTAACTTCAACCAGGGGCCTCATGCCAGGGCTAAATCCAGCTCTGAGCTTGTTGCAGCCCAAACGGGATGGCCTGGTGGCCGTGGCTGCAGCTCAGGAAACATGCCCCTTTTTTCCATGGGTGGAAATATCTGTGGGGGTACAGAAGCAGATTTTCAGCTTGTCTGCAAACAGGCCCATTTGCAAGCATGTGGTGGGGGAGTTTTCAAGCGACAAGTGTACTGAGGAAATGTCTGTGACCACAGTGGGTGAGAGAAGTGGCTTTTTTCCAGGCTAGTGTCTGGATTTTGGCTGCCTGCTTACGCACCACATGAAGGTGACAGTGGCATCAGGAAGTATGGGAGGGGGTTGGCCTGTCTACAAGCAGAAAGAATGAGCACCCCAATATTAACAATGACTAAACACCACCAAAACCTATGAAAATAACCACTCATGAGGTAATCAGCCAGAACCCGGTGTCTGTGTAGGAGAGGCTGTAGCTGGTACCCACAGCCTGAGGTGAGTGACCTCATGAGGTGGGGACAGCAAGGCCATCTTGCTTCCTCTTCGCCCCTGGAGATTTTAAAAACAAGAGTTTAAAAAATAATCTCTGCTTTGTGGAGAGGCTTTGGGGTCTTGCTTCGCCCTTCCTTGCGTCCCCTTGGGTTAATGCCAGAGGAGACAAGCGCCTGGTGGTGGCCACCACACTCTTGGCCATTGTGGCCATCACGCACTTCACCGAGTCAAGTCTCTGCCGAGCGAGGAGCCACATGGACAAGGGTGGGCTGTGAAATGACACCTCTGCGAGCAAGCTGCGATGCCCTGAGGATGTGACAGCCTACAAAAAAGGACAAAGGGGAAAAAAAAAGGCAGAAAAAAGCTGCGCTGGTTCCTCACTGTTCCCTCAGCGCCGTCTCAGCCCGTGCGGAGGCTTCTGAGGTGTGAACACATCCTGTTTACAGCTGCCAGCGGGGAGGAGAAGTGGAGGGGAGCACAGGGCCGAGGAGCAGTCGGAGGCAGCGCCCTGCAGCCCGAGGAGGCCCCGGCATGGACGCGCTGCCCATCTACCACGGGGGCATCACCCGTGAGGCTGGGGAGAGGCTGCTGCTGGCGGCGGGCACCGACGGCAGCTACCTGCTGCGGGACAGCGAGAGCATCCCGGGAGCCTACTGCCTCTGCGTGCTGTGAGTGCGGCCACGGCCCCGCGAGGGCAGCGGGGCTGGCAGTCGGGCCCTGGGGAGGGTTGGTCGGGTGGGACCTGCTGCCCAACCTTTGCATCCGTGGGATGAGGTGTTCCCATACAGCAGCGACAAAATATGTTCTCATACTAATATTTGCAGACACGTGTGAGACTTCCTTCACCTTGACTTAAGGCAGAGGAGTGCATAAGGAGTGTGGGGTCCCTTGTAGAGTCAAGGGGAACAGGTTTCACCTTGCAAAGCCCATACTTCCTACGGGCATAAAACAAGCAGAGAGAGCAGGCCTGGAGCACGTAGGAAGGACGAGTCAGGTGCCATGGAGAGGAGCTGGGCAACTTGCCTCGAGATGGCACGGGCTGCTTCTTTGTGCTGGATAAACCTCTTGCTTTCTGCCCACCACTTTCTGCTTCTCCAATGCACTCCATGTGCTTGGCAACTTCCCCAGCATGACCTGTCATCGGGAAGGGCAGCGTGGATTGCTGTCATCAGAACATGCCTTTGCCTCAATATGCTCTTGGTCAGGTTGTGTGTCTCACAAGCCCTTGGGCTTGGGAATGAAATTAAATACTGAAGGGTAATGAACTAAGTGTTAATTTTTCACCATATAGAGAGAAAGAGGAAAGATCTGATGGGATGGTCTCTCAGAAAGAGGGTAGAGAGGTTTCCCTGTGGGATTTTGTAGTCATAGGATCTTGTTTTAAAGAGGCAATTTAATTGCTTTACATTTGTCAAAAGCGGAAGTCTCAGAAGCCCTGAGATATCTCTGTACAATGCAGTACCACTGCCTCTGAAGAACAAAGGTGTGTTTGCACAGCTAAACAGACACTCGTGCCTTACTTCAGTACAAGAAGGAATACAAGAGAAAACTCTTTAAAGGTCAGCAAGAAATTAGCTAACAGAGGGCACTTAGGTACCTGGCAAAAAAAAAAAAAAAAGAGAAGAAGGAGAGGAAGAGTCCTAAGTCAGGTTTTCCCCAAATGTCTTGAATACGTTTCCAGCAATAATGCAATTAAACTCTGGGTGTGCATTATTATTCTTCTGTTGTGGACCGGTAAATGGAGGCATCCAAGAAGTTTATAAACAATCCAGAGATACACAACATTCTTTTCAGGGAAGATCTTTGTGGCAGAAGATGTATTTTTTTCTTCTTTCGTGGAATCAGAAGATGAACCAAGATAGCTGCTACTGCTAAAAAATACCTTAACAGCTAACTGAAAAATGGGAAATAAGAAGCATCTTGAGTTAAATGAAAATGGAATAGACATAGTAAGAAGTAAGGAGTGCTATGATTCCTGTGATGGCGATAGGCAATAATAGCAGAATCTCTTTTCAATAACCACCAGAGGAAATGGTGATCTATCTCCTTAACACTCTGAAGTCATTCAGTGCAGGTAAAACACCAAGGCATGAGAGAAAGGGTCAGGCAGAATGTTACAATGCTGAATAAAATAGAGAATCCTGAAATTAGTCCACCATTAGTCTAAATCAGGGAGTAGGTAGGTAATAAGGTCTTTCATCTCCACACAATCAGTTGGGATTTTTTGCTATATTAGTGGTAATTTACATCCTTTGGAAGAAATTTCATGAATGAGATAAAATGAAAAATGAAAATAGGAAGAACAGAAAAGACTGCTGACTATGAAGCTCTGCAATCTTTGGAGGAAAAGAAAAGAGTCTTCAGTAAGATACAGAACCCTACTTGATTGTTTCTGGAAATTATGGGCCACTCGTGTCTTTATGTTCTATTGCATTCAAACATATGTGTGATGAGCAAAGGGGTAGAAGCAAAAAATACTCCTGGTGAATGTTACACAGGCTTCTTATACAACATGGATCCTCAATACATTTTTGTAAGAGAAATTTTCAACAGCATCTTGGATAAATCCAGATAAAAAAGTTAAATGAAAAATGTTATGATGAGTGTGACTTGATGTAGATAGAAAGGTAGCTGAAAACAGCTAGAGCCAAGACTTGCTTTCAATACTCCTCAACATTCCAGTTCAGAGCATTATGTAAGAAATAGCAGCAGCAGTAAACAAATTATCACACAATAACTTTGGAGGCAGTTATCATAAAGATACCTGGAAATAGTCTCACACTGAGGAAAGCAATGGCAGTTTAAAGAAATGTGGGCTATAAACTAGAGAAGGGCTTCGACAGGCAGAAGCTCACCAAAGCAGAGCACTTTAGTGAGGAGGCTGGAGGAGCAGGTAGGGAACGCATGAGATATGTAGATGTGTGTTCAGTGGAGGATGCTAAGCCTGGCTTTGGCAAAATTAACCAATAGACCAAACTGCCCCCCAGATTTCACCCTGAACATCATGCACAGAGATGAGAGAGGTGTCAAGCACGTATGGGCGTGGGAGCTTTGGTAAAAACTGAGGGAAACATGCAGTTACAGTATTCATTGTTTAAGAAAAAGAAAAGAAAAGAAAAAGTAAGCACTTCTCTGCTTAAATACTTAAATACTTCTTTCTCAATGATTAATGGAAATTATTAGGAATAACACAGTTATCTGGAAATTTATCTTTTGATTCAGAATCCATGCTGAAGATCACGCTAGGGATACATAGATCTATCAAGGTTAGGCAAAACGTGTATTTACTGGAAGTATTTACATGATCTTTGAAACATGAGAAACAAAGCTGGACAGCCATTAAGTGTCTCACAGTAAGTACCAGAGCTAAATAAAAAAATTTACATCTTTCAATGATAATTTCTAACAGAAGTGAAATAGTTTCTTACTGCCAGTGATGCATCTATTGCTCTTAGAATGAAAAATCAAAAAATAGTCCCATTTTCCAAAATCAAAACATGTTCAGTCTTTCTTCTTTCCTTTCTCCTTGCATTTCCCTGGAGAAGTAAAACAAAACAAACCTAAAGCTCCCCAGCTCCAAGCCCTCTTAGGGTTCTTTTTTTTTCATTTACCATGAGAGAAGAAGGAAGTTGTCAAAATTAAAAGGCACAGTTCCAAGGAAGAGAGAAGAAAAAACTATTCTAAAAAAATGATTAAACAAACACTTGGATGACAATACTGTCATCAGCTTGAACTCACAAAAGCATCCACTCTGCACTTCCAGCCCCAGCAAGAGTAATTGGTAAGTCCTGAGATTGCCACTGCATCTCTTAGGCACAAACAACATCTCCTTTTCCCAAGAAACGGACTAAATTTTTTAATGCCCCCATCTCCCCCCCACCCCTCCCTGCCTGGGCACCCTCAAAAAGCTCTAACATATTTTGGCAGTCTTTAAACCTCTTCAGGCACGCAGTAAGGGCAGCAGTGCTCATGGTCATTCACCTTTTGCCTTTCCAATTAAAAAGTGGAGCCCTGACCTTTAAAAAGGGGAAGAGTAAAAGACTTCATGAATCCCTTGTGACTGACACAGATTTTACAGGGCAAGCATAAAAGAGACAGGTAGTGGCATAAAACCTGACCTGCAGAGATGGGTAACTGCGGCAGAAAGGCTCCTGTTGGAGTGTCTGGCTAGAGAACTGCTTTGTCTCTACTGAAGTATTGCTTCATCTTCCTTGAATGCCACTTTCTGCTGGCCACCCAAAGTGCCAGTGTGCACGTGGGGTGCCTGCAAGCCTTCAAAGAGAGAATGTTTTTTTGGTGTGGCTGTGGCAAAGCACAAAGGACTCACTTTCATAAATGTTTTAAGACCACAGTTAAAATGTGCATGGAAGAAGAGAAAGGTTTTGATTCACCCCCTGGGGCTCTTACAAACAGAGGTGCTGCCTGAAGAGTTTGGCAAATTTTTTTAATACCAGATGCTCCCCAGATCTTCATTGTCTGAATACCATTGTTAAATTGATAGTAGGTACTTTGAGGGTGTTGTTCATCCTGTTCTGAGTATGTCAACAGAGGAGCACAATATTTTCTTGGAAGTTTTTTTAGGTTTGCATTGAAAAGCAAGAAGATTTTTGCTGTTCCTGAAAACTAGAAGTAATGCACATGCTTTAAAAAATGCACACGTTTTACCTGTAAACTTGTTAGACACTACATGCAGTACACCAGGGGTTTAGTAGCAAAATCTGATTGTTCCAGGGAGCTTTCTTTACTGGCCTGGTTTCCTCTTTGCTCAGTACTCCATTTGACATTTTTAGCACCCTCAGAAATCCTCTGTGCACATGGCTCCTAATGAAGTCAATGGGGGACACAGGCCACATGAACGGTGGCTGGTTTGGGAAACAACCTCTTAAAATGCACCTGAAAAGTGCATAAATAAAACACCCAAGAGTGCCAAAAGCACCACTTACCTTTACAGATGTAAAGCACACATGCAGAAACAAGCAGCTCCTGCCTGAATTGGCAAAGAGAAAGCATTTTTAGTTTGGCTCTTAAAATTCACATACTTGAAAATACTTTGAAAGTTAGTAGCTGTTTCATACCTGTAATTAAGCTAAACATGACATACTTGTCAAACTGTATTTTCAGATTATTTGTTTGAAACCAGTCATTTGTGTCCTCTGCCGCATCCAGATCGTGGAGAATAATCAAAAGCTGGAATAGGAAGCTGTTGAAAGCTCTTGAAGCAACAGTAATGGCAAGAGGGACAGGCTGCAGTGCTATCTATCTGATTTTACATGTGCTATTTTTTCTGTCCCTGTAACCACAGTGCACAAGTTCAGCCAACGTGCTGAAACTTTCTGATGCAAGATGTATCAGAAAGTGTAATACAGGATCACGAGCCACCTTCAGCTGAGAATTTCTTTTGTTTCCCATGTAATATATTTGAGAGAAATGGCAGCATAATTGCATTTATTATAGCACTACACACAATAATCATCATCATCGAAAATGTAATTTGGAACAAAAGCTTCTCTCTGACGAGGAGCCCCTCAATTCATGGTTGCTGCTGTAAATATCACAGCCTATTTTCAGCTTTGGAAAAAAAGTCTTCTACAGCACAATGGTAAATTCTACCGAGGTGCGTATTTCAGCTCCTAGCTAATCAGCAGGAGCTTTGTCTTTGCTGAGAATA